AAGCAGTGGAAACTCAGTGCTATCCAGTGTTGTGTCCGTAGTGATGGGGGATTTTGTTGAAGGGCTGCTGAGCAGAGCAGTTCTGACTTCGAGGAGGCGCCGGCATCTTGGTGTCACCCCATGCCCGAGGCCCCAGTGTCCTCTGGTTGTTCTATCTCAGCTTCCTGGGCCACTGCTCCTGTGCACATGTTCCAGATGCGGCCCGTGACTGCTCCCCAGCGCCTTGGGCCACTCCCCTGCCAGTTCGTTGCTGCTCATCCGCCAGATTGTCACCTGTGTAGGGATGCTGCTGTTTGAGTGGAAGCTACACAGCGGGCTGAGCAACAGGCCTGGGAGGTGTGCTCTGCCCCAGGCCTGGCCTGTGGTGCCACTGTGGGGTTTGGACTGTTGGTTGCCTATCTCCTACCTGTCAGTCCATCCAGACAGTTGACAGGGGAGTAAGTCTCATGGCTGCTATGGTTGTATACATGCGAAGTCTGGGGTGCGTGAGGCTGGGCACAGTGTCCAGGCCCCGGACAGCTGAACAGAGCTGAGCAGACTGGGCTCTGTGTTGGGCTGACAGATGCCAGTGAAGAGCTGGAGTGTCCTGAGAGCAGCCCTGGCCGTGGCAGATGCCAAGAGAGTCAGGGGGCGTGGCATGGGTCCAGCTGGCAGGGTGGGCAGTTCCTGTGGGGCTTGTGGGGACGCCTGGTGGTCCAGGGCCTCATTGCGGTCCACTGCGGACCAAGGAGATTCCGCTGTCACTCTGCAGCCTAGACGGGGTGTGGGGGTCCTGTTGGCTGCTTGGGCCTGCCCTTGTGCCCTCATCAGACTCAAGCTGCCGGCAGCCGTGGCCGGGTAGTGGTCGTCTCCACTTGTTGCTCCTTGCTCACGTACCCTTGGCAGAAGTGGGACCTGGGTGGAGCATAATGCGGGGAGAGGGGCCCAGCGTTCACACGCTGCCTGCTCACACACTGGCACTCATCAAGGGATTTCTTGTGGTGTGTTGGGTGGCTTGCACCCATCCTGTGGGTGATTATCGGGATCACATGGGACCCTAGGATTCCCAGGGGTGAGGTAGGAGTGCAAGTCCCTAACTCATTGTGGGCTTGACACGTTGGTACTCACGTAGGAAGTGTGTGTGCCAGCTTGCTTCAAGGGGAAGGCCACTGTGTGTCTGTGATGGTAGATGCCCCCTGCTGTCACCCTGTCCTCGTGTGTTAGATAGGGTGTGTCCCTGCTGTCACCCCATGTGTTAGAGTAGGCGTGTCCCCTGCTGTCACCACGTGTGTTAGAGTAGGCGTGTCCCCTGCTGTCACCCCGACCCCGTGTGTTAGATAGGGTGTGTCCCTGCTGTCACCCCGTGTGTTAGAGTAGGCGTGTCCCCTGCTGTCACCCCGTCCCCGTGTGTTAGAGTAGGTGTGTCCCCTGCTGTCACCTCGTCCCCGTGTGTTAGAGTAGGTGTGTCCCCTGCTGTCACCCCGACCCCGTGTGTTAGAGTAGGTGTGTCCCCTGCTGTCACCCCGACCCCGTGTGTTAGATAGGGTGTGTCCCTGCTGTCACCCCGTGTGTTAGAGTAGGTGTGTCCCCTGCTGTCACCCCGTCCCCGTGTGTTAGAGTAGGTGTGTCCCTGCTGTCACCCCATCCCTGTGTTAGAGTAGGTGTGTCCCCTGCTGTCACCCCGACCCCGTGTGTTAGAGTAGGTGTGTCCCCTGCTGTCACCCCGACCCCGTGTGTTAGATAGGGTGTGTCCCTGCTGTCACCCCGTGTGTTAGAGTAGGTGTGTCCCCTGCTGTCACCCCGTCCCCGTGTGTTAGAGTAGGTGTGTCCCTGCTGTCACCCCATCCCCGTGTGTTAGAGTAGGTGTGTCCCTGCTGTCACCCCATCCCCGTGTGTTAGAGTAGGTGTGTCCCCTGCTGTCACCACGTCCCCGTGTGTTAGAGTAGGTGTGTCCCCTGCTGTCACCTCGTCCCTGTGTGTTAGAGTAGGCGTGTCCCCTGCTGTCACCCCATCCCCGTGTGTTAGAGTAGGCGTGTCCCCTGCTGTCACCCCATCCCCGTGTGTTAGAGTAGGTGTGTCCCCTGCTGTCACCCCGTGTGTTAGAGTAGGCGTGTCCCCTGCTGTCACCCCATCCCCGTGTGTTAGAGTAGGTGTGTCCCCTGCTGTCACCCCATCCCCGTGTGTTAGAGTAGGCGTGTCCCCTGTCGTCACCCCATCCCCGTGTGTTAGAGTAGGCGTGTCCCCTGCTGTCACCCCATCCCCGTGTGTTAGAGTAGGTGTGTCCCCTGCTGTCACCCCATCCCCGTGTGTTAGAGTAGGCGTGTCCCCTGCTGTCACCTCGTCCCCGTGTGTTAGAGTAGGTGTGTCCCCTGCTGTCACCCCATCCCCGTGTGTTAGAGTAGGCGTGTCCCCTGCTGTCACCCCGACCCCGTGTGTTAGAGTAGGCGTGTCCCCTGCTGTCACCCCATCCCCGTGTTAGAGTAGGCGTGTCCCCTGCTGTCACCTCGTCCCCGTGTGTTAGAGTAGGTGTGTCCCCTGCTGTCACCACGTCCCCGTGTGTTAGAGTAGGCGTGTCCCCTGCTGTCACCCCATCCCCGTGTGTTAGAGTAGGCGTGTCCCCTGCTGTCACCCCATCCCCGTGTGTTAGAGTAGGTGTGTCCCCTGCTGTCACCTCGTCCCCGTGTGTTAGAGTAGGCGTGTCCCCTGCTGTCACCCCATCCCCGTGTGTTAGAGTAGGTGTGTCCCCTGCTGTCACCCCATCCCCGTGTGTTAGAGTAGGCGTGTCCCCTGCTGTCACCACGTCCCCGTGTTAGAGTAAGTGTGTCCCCTGCTGTCACCCCATCCCCGTGTGTTAGAGTAGGCGTGTCCCCTGCTGTCACCCCGTGTGTTAGAGTAGGTGTGTCCCTGCTGTCACCCCGTCCCTGTGTGTTAGAGTAGGCGTGTCCCCTGTCGTCACCCCATCCCCGTGTTAGAGTAGGCGTGTCCCCTGCTGTCACCCCGTCCCCGTGTGTTAGAGTAGGCGTGTCCCCTGTCGTCACCCCATCCCCGTGTTAGAGTAGGTGTGTCCCTGCTGTCACCCCGTCCCTGTGTGTTAGAGTAGGCGTGTCCCCTGTCGTCACCCCATCCCCGTGTTAGAGTAGGTGTGTCCCCTGCTGTCACCCCGTCCCCGTGTGTTAGAGTAGGTGTGTCCCCTGTCGTCACCCATCCCCATGTGTTAGAGTAGGTGTGTCCCCTGCTGTCACCCCGTCCCCGTGTGTTAGAGTAGGCGTGTCCCCTGCTGTCACCCCGTGTGTTAGAGTAGGTGTGTCCTTGCTGTCACCCCGTCCCCGTGTGTTAGAGTAGGCGTGTCCCCTGTCGTCACCCCATCCCCGTGTTAGAGTAGGTGTGTCCCTGCTGTCACCCCGTCCCTGTGTGTTAGAGTAGGCGTGTCCCCTGTCGTCACCCCATCCCCGTGTTAGAGTAGGTGTGTCCCCTGCTGTCACCCCGTCCCCGTGTGTTAGAGTAGGTGTGTCCCCTGCTGTCACCCCGTCCCCGTGTGTTAGAGTAGGCGTGTCCCCTGCTGTCACCCCATCCCCGTGTGTTAGAGTAGGTGTGTCCCTGCTGTCACCCCGTCCCTGTGTGTTAGAGTAGGCGTGTCCCCTGTCGTCACCCCATCCCCGTGTTAGAGTAGGTGTGTCCCCTGCTGTCACCCCGTCCCCGTGTGTTAGAGTAGGTGTGTCCCCTGCTGTCACCCCGTCCCCGTGTGTTAGAGTAGGTGTGTCCCCTGCTGTCACCCCGTCCCCGTGTGTTAGAGTAGGCGTGTCCCCTGCTGTCACCTCGTCCCTGTGTGTTAGAGTAGGTGTGTCCCCTGCTGTCACCCCGTCCCCGTGTGTTAGAGTAGGTGTGTCCCCTGCTGTCACCCCGTCCCCGTGTGTTAGAGTAGGCGTGTCCCTGCTGTCACCCCGTCCCTGTGTGTTAGAGTAGGTGTGTCCCCTGCTGTCACCCCGTCCCCGTGTGTTAGAGTAGGTGTGTCCCCTGCTGTCACCCCGTCCCCGTGTGTTAGAGTAGGTGTGTCCTTGCTGTCACCCCGTCCCCGTGTGTTAGAGTAGGCGTGTCCCCTGTCGTCACCCCATCCCCGTGTGTTAGAGTAGGTGTGTCCCCTGCTGTCACCCCGTCCCCGTGTGTTAGAGTAGGCGTGTCCCCTGCTGTCACCCCGTCCCTGTGTGTTAGAGTAGGCGTGTCCCCTGCTGTCACCTCGTCCCTGTGTGTTAGAGTAGGTGTGTCCCCTGCTGTCACCCCGTCCCCGTGTGTTAGAGTAGGTGTGTCCCCTGCTGTCACCCCGTCCCCGTGTGTTAGAGTAGGCGTGTCCCCTGCTGTCACCCCGTCCCTGTGTGTTAGAGTAGGTGTGTCCCCTGCTGTCACCCCGTCCCCGTGTGTTAGAGTAGGTGTGTCCCCTGCTGTCACCCCGTCCCCGTGTGTTAGAGTAGGTGTGTCCCCTGCTGTCACCCCGTCCCCGTGTGTTAGAGTAGGTGTGTCCCCTGCTGTCACCCCGTCCCCGTGTGTTAGAGTAGGCGTGTCCCCTGCTGTCACCCCGTCCCCGTGTGTTAGAGTAGGTGTGTCCCCTGCTGTCACCCCGTCCCCGTGTGTTAGAGTAGGTGTGTCCCCTGCTGTCACCCCGTCCCCGTGTGTTAGAGTAGGTGTGTCCCTGCTGTCACCCCGTCCCCGTGTGTTAGAGTAGGCGTGTCCCCTGCTGTCACCCCGTCCCTGTGTGTTAGAGTAGGCGTGTCCCCTGCTGTCACCCCGTCCCCGTGTGTTAGAGTAGGTGTGTCCCTGCTGTCACCCCGTCCCTGTGTGTTAGAGTAGGCGTGTCCCCTGCTGTCACCCCATCCCCGTGTTAGAGTAGGTGTGTCCCCTGCTGTCACCCCGTCCCTGTGTGTTAGAGTAGGCGTGTCCCCTGCTGTCACCCCATCCCCGTGTTAGAGTAGGTGTGTCCCCTGCTGTCACCCCATCCCCGTGTTAGAGTAGGTGTGTCCCCTGCTGTCACCCCGTCCCCGTGTGTTAGAGTAGGTGTGTCCCCTGCTGTCACCCCGTCCCCGTGTGTTAGAGTAGGTGTGTCCCCTGCCGTCACCCACCCTTCCTGCTCCTCACATAGATGTGTGGTCTGTTTACCTGGAGGGGCGCTGTCTATCCAGTGTAACAGGTGCCCTCTGTCCCGGGGCTCAGGCACTGCCTCTGGGGGCTGACTGGGCTCTCAGGCAAGTGCTATGGGAATTGGCTCAAGAGGAGCTAGGGTGGCGTGGGCACAAGGCCCCATGGATTCTGTCCTTGGAGCTCAAGCCTGTTCCACACCATGGCGCCAGATGCTTGCTGTGCCGTCGCTGAACTCTTGGTGGTCTGGTCTTGCTGTGTAAATCAGCCGTGTTGTCCTTTGCGTCCCTTGCCCTGGCCTGGCCTCCTCCAGCTGCTTGCTCAGGTCTCTTATAGCAGGTTTGGGTGATGGGCAGTGCTCCCAGCGTCCTGCACACACCATGCTCTCCTGAGGTGTGTCTTTGTCACGGGTTCATGTTCTGGTGCACATGCTGACGGTCCGTGTCTGTGTCCTCTGTTTTGGGTTGGGCAGCATCCTGGTGGAGCGGGCACTGATCTTTCACCTCTCTGTTCCAGGTGCTAGCTGCCACGAGCCCGGTGCTCCCTGAGGAACATGTCTGTGGGCATTGGTGCAGGCGCCTGCCTTGCCCCGGGCAGCCAGTCGCCACTCTGAGCATGGGGAGATAGAAGGCTGTGGCTGCAGGCTGTGCCAGAGCGCCGACGCTGAGCCAGCTCCACACCCTCGTCCCGATGGATCGCAGTAGAGAGGCGGAAGTGGAGCTGAGGAGGGGCCCCAGCCCTCCCCGGGCAGGCCGGAGCCGTGACGGGGATGGGGACAAGGTGGCGTGCCACAGCTGCTGTCTGTGCGGCAAGAGCTTCGCCTTCCAGAGCTCGCTGTCACAGCACATGCGCAAGCACACAGGCGAGAAGCCCTACCAGTGTCCCTACTGCGAGCACAGGGCCTCGCAGAAGGGCAGCCTTAAGATGCACATCCGTAGCCACCGCACAGGCACCCTGGTCCAGGGCCATGAGCCACACGCGGCTGAGGGCCCGGACGGCCGTGGCAGCCCCACGAAGAGTACCTCGGCCTGCAACGGGGTCCTGAACGGGGCGGCGCCTGCAGACGGCAGAGTGCTTCTGCGCAGCGGCCGGAGGGAGGCCGAGGGGCCCGGCGCCCCTGAGGACACCGGGGCTGTTGTCCAGTGCACCTTTTGCAAGAGCCAGTTTGGGCGGAAGAAGGAGCTGGAGCTACACGTGCACCAGGTGCACAAGCCCTTCAAGTGCAGGCTGTGCGGCTTTGCCACGCTGCGGGAGGAATCGCTGCTCAGCCACGTCGAGCGGGACCACATCACGGCGCAGGTGCCCAACGGCGCCGCTCGGGTCAGTGTGGAGAACGGCAAGCCTGAGCTGAGCCCTGGCGAGTTTGCCTGCGAGGTGTGCGGCCAGGCCTTCAGCCAGACCTGGTTCCTCAAGGCGCACATGAAGAAACACCGTGGTTCTTTGGACCACGGCTGCCATGTGTGTGGCCGCCGGTTCAAGGAGCCGTGGTTCCTGAAGAACCACATGAAGGCGCATGGCCCCCGGGCGGGTGGCAAGAACCGGCCCCGCAGTGAGCTGGATGCCGTGGCCACTATCAACGACGTGGTGCAAGAAGAGGTCATTGTGGCCGGCCTGTCGCTCTACGAGGTTTGCGCCAAGTGTGGCAACCTGTTTACCAACCTGGACAGCTTGAACGCCCACAGCGCCATCCACCGGCAGGTTGAGGCTGGACGCACTTGCGCCGCTGCCGAGGAGGGCCCTGCCAGCACTAAGCAGCTCTTCCTCCGGTGCCTGCGCCTGAGACCCTCTGTGGCCAGGGACGTGCTCCCCGGTGGGCAGGCTGGGAAGCGGGTGGCCGAACTGGACCCCGTCAACAGCTACCAGGCCTGGCAGCTGGCCACCCGGGGTAGGGTGGCCCAGCCTGCTGAGTACCTCAAGTACGGGGCCTGGGACGAGGCGCTGGCTGGAGACGTGGCCTTCGACAAGGACCGGCGTGAGTACATCCTGGTGAGCCAGGAGAAGCGCAGGCGAGAGCAGGATGTGCCAGCTGCCCAGGGTCCCCCCCGGAAGAGGGCTGGTGTGCTGGGGGACCCCGTGCTGCCCGGCCCGCTGGATCCACGGCCTGTGGTGCGCCCCAGCCGCAGAGCCACGGCCCCCGTGGGCCAGGGCAAATCCTCCGAGTGCTTCGAGTGTGGGAAGATCTTTCGCACGTACCACCAGATGGTGCTGCACTCGCGGGTGCACCGCCGTGCCCGCCGCGACCGGGAGGGTGACCAGACCGCTCGTGCCCGCTGCAGTTCCCTCAGTGAGGGCGACTCAGTGTCCCAGCCCAGCAGCCCAGCCTCTGCGTGTGCCACCGCTGACTCCCCGGCCTCCGGCCTGGCTGATGAGGCTGGTGACGACAGCAGTGAGGAGGTTACCGCTGATCATGTGCCAGGTGAGCCAGTGTCTGTCACCAGGTGGCCCTGGTCCCAGTGCCCTGGGGCTTCTATGCCTGCATGCCCTGAGCCCCCCACGGATTTCACACCTGCGTGTCCTTGTCCAGGGTGTCTGTCCAGGTACCCTGCATCTGGGGTGTGTTTGGAGCCTGTGCTGGTGGGCACAGACACAGGCACCTGTTGCGGTATTTCTTTGCTAACGACCCATATGCACTGGCACTGGCTGGTGCCTTTGGCCTCCTGAGGTGATGGGCTCTCTTGGAGTCGTAAGCAAGGAACACAAGAGCCCCTCTTAGAGGTGTTCATCCTGTGACACAAGCTTGCACCAGCTCACGTGTGTCCCACACACACGCTGCACAGGTATGCATTGTGCTGCACACGTGCAGGGAACAAAGCACACACTCATGCATGCATGCAACACGTGCCATGTGCACACATGAGCATACCACACATGCATGCACAGTGCAGTGTAATGCACAGGTGTACCACAGAGACAGGCACACAGGTGGACATGCACGTGCATGTACCACAGCCAGTATGTGCGGTGGTGAATCTTGGTTAGCACAGGTAACGTCGGGCTTGGCAAGCAGCAGCCCGCAGAGCCTGGCGCCCTCTGGGCTGTCCGTAGACTTTCAGCTCTGCTCGTTCTTTGTCCTGCCATGGGTGGTGGTTTTTCACAGGAGACGAGGTTTCGGTTAAGGACCTTGTTGCTGTCCCTGTAAAGCCTTACACCCTCCTCTCTTCTCCCAGCAAGCCGTGTTGCATTTACTGGAAGGTTCCAGAATGATAGGCTGTGGTTAGGACCGTGGTGTTGTGCATGGAGGAGGATGGGTCGCGTGTTTCTGGAAGACAAGCAGAGGTTGGTTTCGTCTTGGAACAAAGTCCCCGGACAGGTCACACAGCACTGAGCACGGGTCAGCAGAGCTGTGGCTGCAGGGGCCCGTCTCCGACCTGCTCCAGTGGACGCACCATCCAGCACTCGTCATGACCACTTCCCTTCTCTCTGGTCCTGCGGGGAAGATGGAGTATCTGACACGGGAAATGCGGGGCTCTCTCAGCTCTTCTGGAAGCTTCTGACTGCTCAGTCCATACAACCTCATCTGGTGTCACTGCTGGGTCGGCCTTTTCCTGGGTGCAGCTGTGGGTGTTGCTGGTGATGCTGTTGGCATCTCCTGGGGACTCCTGCCATAGTGCAGAGGGGGCAGCTGTGGGTGGGGTGCTGGGACACAGCATACAGTGGCTCAGGCTGCTACACCAGTGGCCACACCTGGATGCTGGGCAGGTCTGCCGCTTTCCGCAGTCCTGGAGGGTGCCCAAGGGGCCAGCCTAGGTGGCAAGGAAGGTCTCGTGGTCGCAGCTGTCCTCTCACCCTGCAGTTTGACTCTGGGTCTGGGCTCAGCACTTGGAGGAACTGCTTATTTAAGAGAATGTTTGGGGCCCGGCGTGGTGGCGCAAGTGGTTAAGATCCTCGCCTTGCACGCCCGGGATCCCATATGGGCGCCGGTTCTATCCCAGCAGCCCCGCTTCCCTTCCAGCTCCCTGCCTGTGGCCCGAGAAAGCAGTCGAGGACGGCCCAAAGCTTTGGGACCCTGCACCCGCGTGGGAGACCCGGAAGAGGCTCCTGGCTTCGGATGGGCATAGCATCGGCTGTTGCGCTCTCTTGGGGAGTGAATCATCGGAGGGAAGATCTTCCTCTCTGTCTCTCCTCCTCTCTGTATATCCGCCTTTCCAATAAAAACATAATAAAAATAAATCTTTAAAAAAAAAGAATGTTTGAAAGGCTGAGTTAGAGAGATGGAGAGAGCTGTCATCCGCTGGCCGGCTTACAGGTGGCTGCAGCTGCCGGGACTCCGGTGCCTGAGCCGTGTGCTGCTGCCTGTCCAGGTGCACTGGCAGGGAGCTGTGTCCTCAGCAGAGCAGTCAGGACTCGCACGATGCTCATGTGGGATGCTGGCATCATAGCAGCAGCTGAACCTGCTGGGGTGTGAGAGCTGCAGACAGAGCCCACAGCCCTCCACTCCAGGGAAGCCCTTCCTTGCAGAACCAGTGGAGGCAAATAAAGAAGCTTGGACTTTGCCCTCTGCATTACAAGGAGTTTTTAAAAAGGCTTACTTGTTTGAAAGGCCACGGGGCAGAGGCAGAAATCTTCCGTCTGCTTGTTCACTGCCCAAATGGCCAGTGCATGGGTCTGGGGCTCTGTCTGGGTCTCCACGTGGGTGCAGGGGTCCAAGCGTGGACTGTCTCCCGCTGCCTCCCCAGGCACATTAGCAGGAGCAGAGCAGCCAGAACCGGACCAGCACCGGTCTGGGATACAGGCGTTGTGGACAGGGGCTTAACTGGCCATGCCACAGCGCTAGCCTCAGACTGAAGCTGTTTCCCCGAGTCTGCGTGTGCTTTTGAGGTTGCTCCAGAGAAAGCCATGGATGTGGAGCAAGTTCTTTTTGTAGATGAGCAAGAGGTGGGCTGGCCGAGCTGGGAGAGGTGGGTGCTGCTGAGGATGGGTGCTACGAGGTCCTGTTGGCTCAGGACGACTGCTGTGCCCGAGGTGAGCACTCTGTACCAAAGGCAGTGGGAGAGGACAGGGTGGCCTTCCTGCCGATGGTCACTACGTGCCTGCCTCTGGTGTCAGGCTGTGAGAACGACGGGTGGTCCTGCAGTCGCGTGGCTCTCGCATGCCGTGTGCCAGCCATGGCTCCCACACCTGTGCTGGATGGGTGGGCGTGTTTCTAGATTGTTCTGGATGGTTGGAAAGCGTTTTGATATTGGAGTGTTGATCAGGTTTATAGTCTTGAGTTGAAATTGATCTGTGATGTTACTGTGCGACAGTAGGACCATGAAAGGATTCCTGAGAATTTGTGCAATGAAGATGACTCATAGACTTCAGGCCGAGAGGCCTGGGAGGGCTGGGCTTTGTCAGTGCCTGTCTGTGAAGTGACCTGAGAGAGTGAGCCCTCCTGTCTGCTGGGTCACTCACCTGCACACAGCAGCCGGACTGGGACACACTCCTGCTCTCCAAGGGGTTGGTGGCCTGCATGCTCAGATGTCCGCAGATGCACAGCAGCAGGAAGCGCCAGTCCCGCGGGGAGAGGGAGCTGGAACCTGACCCTGCAGCGTGGGCTGCCAGTGTCCCACACAGTGGGTGTCTCGGCTGTCGCACCCACTCTAGCCTTTCTCAGATGCAGAAGTGTCACTGGGTGTTGCAGGCAGGGGTGAGGTCACAGTTGGGGATAGCAGCTGGGAGAGCTGCGGTGCAGGGGGATGTGTCTCCTGGGGATGATGTGGGGGTCCAAGGAAAGCTGTCATGGCGCCCTGGCCTTGGAAGCAAGCAGCGTTGGCATTTTCTGTGCCTGTAGCCCACCCTTTGCTTGCTGATGCTTCCAGCCTGGCACACGGGAGGTCCTAGAACCAGAGAGGTCGGCAGGAGCACGGACAGCTGAGGACATAGCTGGAATTTGTGTGAAAGGCAGCGATCTTCCATCTGGTGGTTCACTCCCCAGGTGCCTGCCAGAGTTAGGACTGGGCCGGGCTGAAGCCAGCGGCCGGTCAGCCCATGTGGTTGTCCCACAGGGTGCGGGGGCCCAAGCACTTGGTCTGCCTCTGCTTTCCTGGGTGTTAGCAGGGAGCTGGGACTCACGCTGCTGCTCATGGCAGGTGCTGCTGGCTTCACCTGTCCCCTGGTGCCAGCCCCCTTTTTCATGCCTTGTGGTGTATTTTAATGCTTTGGTTTCCGAGTGAGCCTGCGTCCGTCTTGATGATGCGTTTGTGTCTCTTGCATGGCTTGCTTGCTCACGTTTTCCTGATGGGCCTTAATGTGCAGGGACTCTCTAGGTTGCGGTTTGGACCCTTCATTGTGCGCTTTGAAACCCTTTCTCATTTCCCTGTTGACTTGATGGAGACTTTGCTTGCAAAAGTCCTGGAGCACCAGGCCTGCCCATCTGCCTTGCGGCTCCTGGGCTCTTTGTCATTGGTGCTCTGTCGTCCACGGGGCATCCAGTTTGCAGAATTCCACGCTGTGTGAGGTGTTCTCAGGAAGTGACCACGCTGACACCCTGGTCTTCCGTCTGATCCCTGGAGCCACCAGCTCTTCCTTTGCCTGTCTCAGCCTGTGTCTGGTGGGAAGCCCCAGCATGCGCCCTGGGGTCAGGGTCTGAGGAGACATTCTTGGGGTCACTCTGGAGGTGGGAGGTCAACACAGCTGAGATGAGATCAGGCACCTGCTCTGTGTGTTGGGGTGGGCCTGCTCTCTCTTCACTGGACTCCACGCCCCATCCTGTGCAGCTCCTCTCAGGCTGGGCCAGAGGTGGAGTATCCCCTGGGAACCATGGGCAGGTGGCTGCGTGGGCTCCAGGGCCTGTGTGCCCAAAGGATGCTCTGGGAAGTCACAGCTGGGCAGGACCAGCCCATGCAGGGGCTTGGTCCCCAGGGGCTGACACATCTCTCTCCCCAGCTTCTGTCCAACCTGTGACGTGTCCCTTTGCTGAGAGAGGATATCCCTGCCCTGTCCTGCTGCTGGCTTTACACTCCACACTGCTGTGTGGGTGCATACCTTGGGGCCTGTGCCGGAGTCCAGCTCCAGCTGAGTTTAGAACTCGCGAAGAGTGCGTGGATGAGGCACAAAGAAAGAGAGACGGACCCCTAGGACTTCATCATCATAATGAACCATGCGGGAAAGCTGTCCGCTTTATTTATACAGAATCAGTCAAACTCTGGCTCAGACTTTTTACGTCATGGTCAAGTGGGTGTTTCCAAAGATAACTCTGCCATTTGTTTCACCTAAGGCTAGGATGTTAACCACCTGGCGCCTGGCTATGAAAAAGTTCTCAATAGATGGTGCATATCAATCACTAACACATTCTTACCACAATTACTCTACAGCTTGGTCTTGACACAGTCAAGGAAGAACTTCACAGGAGGGACCTGAAAAATCAAAGAAAGAGGGAAAGAATAGATTCCCACTACACCTGAAGACAGAACACCCTTGATTAGCATAGGATCAAAA